GCCAGCTAGGTTGCTATACTATCTGCTAAATCCGATCTTACCTAATATGTGGAGGCCTCTGAAATAGACCTCTCGGCCATATTTGAGATGTTGGTGTGTTTTTTCAGCAATTTTAATGCAGTAATCAGACAAATATGGCAGTCTACAGATACACGCAGCTAACCCAGATTGCTACTGTTAGCTGATAACCTATCTCCATATAACCTATCTCTAGATCTTCTCGTCCATATACAGTCACTTCAAGCTCTAAAAAAAAGGGAAAAAATGGTGAGACTTCTCACCAGGTCTGCACAAACCAATGAGTAAGGTCACAATGGCTATATCCATCTTTTATTTACAGCATCTGGTCTCAAGTGACCACTTGTGTAATAGAATGTCACGCCCCTGCTCAATATGACAGTAAACACCTAGATTATTTCAGTGGGCAAAGACCAGAAATTGTAACTGGTGTGCTGGAATTTAAAAGAAGACGTCAGAATAAGTATTCCTTGGTGTGTTGCTGGCCATTTAAACAGCCCAAGATGATTAGTGAACCTCTATTATATTTCTAAATCCTTTTCAAAATTTTCATTATGTCGAATAAGACACCACCGGTGCCCAAAGGAGTACACACACTGTTTTTGCTGAGGACACGTGATTACTTGTATGCTGCTTAAAGAATGTGGCCATATGTGGCCCCGGCACCCTCCAGATGTAGTCAGTTATCTTGGGTTGACACCCACACTAACCAGTAACCTAAACCACAAGCCAAAAAGAAAAAAAGGGGGTAGCTAATGTAGGAGTGCAAAAAAGTACTGCTGGTTCCAAAAACAAGACTCCGTGTTCAAATACCGAGCTTTCAGAGCATTAAAAAACATGTTTACAGCCTCATGCAAAAAAATAAGATTTCCCCATCTAATATCAACTCATGGGAGTCTAGTCTTTTTTGTAACATCGTCATCGGTACTGGAGATAGGGGTGTAACTTCTTTGACAGACAGGCATCCAGACACAGGCGTCTCTAGCTGATATCTCTGGTTGGCCTCACATTCAGTAACTCACTGAGCTCGACGCCTCCACTGTGTTTATACTGTCGGTGCCATTTGGTGCATTATATTACAGCTTACTTATGCTTACAGTATTTTATTACTTAGTTACCATTAATTAGCTGATATCTAGATTGTACAGAACAGTTTATGGACAGAAATTGATAGCCAAGCCTTAGCTGATAACTCAGCACTGCCCTTACAGTAATGATGGGAGGAAGTTCAACTAGCAGCAACGTCTAATATATATTTAATTCCAACTTCTGACCTCTCAGTAAACCCGCAACTCTCTAAATAGAAACGTGTTAGTGTTTGTCTTGAAGCAGAGAGCAAATAGAGAATACATAAACCACTTCCCTGCTGACTGACGATGTACATTGTGTGGGTGTAAATCAAATTTATTCTTCATTTTTCATGTTTCGCTGCTTGCCCTGCCTGTGTTTACCCCCCATCGGCTCCTATTCACACGATCAGCCTGGGAGCTTGAATATGTCGGGCGGACGGGCAAGTAGGCCAGCAGATTTCAGCCGAGGCTCATCTCAGATTCAGTCCTGCTGTTCTCAACGAGAAGAACACGTCTCACAGTCTCATGTGTTGATTGAGCTGCTCTCTCTCTCTGATTTGGCCCTTGCACCAGAAAAGCTGGAAGCATTGATTTCATTAGACACAGGAGTGTGGGCCTTTCTGTTTGCCTTAGCTACATTCCTCACATACCAGAGCCCCCCCTCTGCCTGTTCTCTGCTCTCTCCGCCCGGCTGACCAGCTTTGCCCTAAAACTTTGACTGTTGCTGCTGTGATTGGTGTAATCAATGCCTGCACCAAGACCACATGCGCTAACTTTACTTTTCACTGCACCGTGTTTAAGTACTTAGATCTATAAGGATAGACTCTTCGTCTGGTGGCTTGAGCTAGCAATAAACAGCGATGACCTAAATATCAGCACGTCTGCTCTGGTGCCCTTTTTCATGAATCATAAACGGTTTGCTTGCAGGAGCTGCTGGCTCACTGCTCTGTTCTCCCAGTCGTTTCCAGGTTTCCAATTTTGGCCGGTGTGAATTCAGATGCGTAATGACTTGACTGCTTCCTCTAATAAGCGACATGTGGAGGGGAATTCATGGAAGAGGAGCAGAGCAGACTTCATAATTCGATGTCACTCTGTACTCTGTGGTAAATCTAAAAAAAATGCCATAGTGGACGTCTATTTTTTAACACAACTCGCACTGCTTGAGTTCTCTTTCCAAACACTACAGGACACCCAAGAGTGATAGCTACAGGTCAGACTCTGGGTTTTCAAGGGGCCCACTTGACCCAGTTTATATGTGAGGCTTCTCAGAACCATCCTGAGTTTATTTAATCACTGCGTGAGGATAAACCAGCATGTCTCAGCCCCTAGGTCTATGTCTATATAGCAGGCACTTCCCTTCTCTTTGTGTTTAGTGCAACATCACATTTCCCTGGGATATCCTCCACGAGGCTAAAACAATACCACATCTTAGTGGAAGGTGGGGGAGGTTTTTGCATGACTCTTCTCTCTCTGTGCTCACTTTGCTTCGTAATGCTGTGGTACTGCTTTCCCC